GGGGGGGCCCAGGCAGAGGCGTGGCCAGAGGGACCAGGAAGGGTTCCCACTGGTGACCGCTGAAACGCACCAACATCTCCCTTGGCAGCTGAGAAGCCTGGAGTGACCCCGATTCTCTGGGGGCGGCTGCAAGCCCTGCCTTCCACATGGCCCTCCCTGAGCAGCTGGTGCCAGCTTAGAGACCAGCCCTGCTGGCCCGGGATCCCGAGAAAGAGCCCAGGTGGGGGCACCAAGGGCTGGCTGGGCAGGAGGCACGTTCCCACTGCAGGGATCCAAGGAGCAAACTGGGCGGCCTGTCTTCCCGAGCTCATGGGCACGAAGGCGGTGGGGGGCACGGGGGTCCCTCTCTTCCCGGCCCGAGACACTCAGCCCGTGAGGGAACGGAGAAGGGCTTCAGCCAGCCGCTCCAGAGAGCTGCATCGCTCCGCAGAGGGCGGGCTCTGCTGATCCGGGCTGAGCAAAGGTGTGCAGAGCCCCGTCCCCAAGCCTCCCACCCTCACCTGTGCTCCTAAGAGACACCCCCACCCACCCACCCAATGTTAAACCAGAACAGCCCCACTCACCACCACAGGTCCACCCTGACGCGCAGCGACCCCGTGAGAAGCTGAGGACTGCCCCCGTGGGCTCCCCAGGCTGAGAACCCACCAGAGCAGGAAGAAGCTTGCCTTTCTCCAGGGGCAGCTGGCTGCCTCGCTGAGAGCCAGCCCACCAGGGCTCCTCACGCGGAGGGGGCTGAAATTCCGCAGAAAAGCAGGAGGGAGGCCGCGGGAGTCTCAGTGCGTGCGCGCAAGCACACAGTTTAACATCCCCACCTCGAGTCTTACTAGTTGGATTTGAAGGCTACAACCCTCTCCCCAAAGTGTACTACAGTCAACCGTGCTCAGCCATGGGCCTGGCTACGCCAACTTGCCACGAATCAGTTAGGCTGCCTCCCAACTTCCACACGGACGGAGCTCGGGGCAAGCCTAAGCCCGAGACGGCGGTGCCCAGCCTGCAGCACAGAGGCGAGCGCCCAACTGAAAACCACTTGGCACCAGCCCGGGCAGTGCTTTTCCAAAAGGACTCACGACCTGCCGCTGGGTGGGCTCCAGCCCTACAGGTGCGGGCTGGGTGCTGGAGACCTGAGGTGGCGCTGTAGCGGGAGCCGGTGCCATGGGGCTCAGCTTCAAGCAAGAACTCCCCGCTGAGGGATTCGAACCTAGTCCTGAAGGAGAACCTCAAGACTGTAAGTCGGAGAGCAAGGATGGGACGCGCACATTCCTGACGCACACTTCAGAGCGCTTCCCTGCTCTGCCCGTCTGGCTCTGCAGGCAGAAGACAGACCAACGGGAACTCTGAGGGCCCAGTGCTTTCCCTGGGCGGGCAGCACAGTGCAGGCAGGGCCTGGGGAGCCGCGCTCACCACTGCTCTCCCGCGTTGGCACAGGGGCGCCCTCTAGCTCCCGGAGAGGGAACCACGGGGCACAGAGCGTAAATGACAAGGCCCGGGGGCATGGGGTGCTCTAAGAATGCACCCTGGGTTTCTGGATGGGGCTCTCCTGTGGGTGCAGGAGAGGACCGCCCTGCGTGGCACCTGTGTGGGAGTGTGTCCCCCAGCGGCAGCAGGCACCGGGTCCCAGGCTGAGAAGCAGTGTCAGCTTCCCTGCCAGGTCGTGAAAGGAGAGGGACCTGGACCTCGCGCCACACACAGCATTTCCTCAAAAGGGTCTAAGACCAGACATAGGGAAGGAAAGCCAGAGGCAAATCTCTGTGGCCTTGGCTCAGACCCTGATTTCTCAGCCTGGGCACCTTCAGAGGCACAAGGAACCAAAGAAAAGAGTTAAACGGAACATCACCAACATTTCCCTAAAATCTCGGAGCAGTAAAGATGACGCTAGTAAAGTGTGAAAGGACAACACACAGGAAGGGAGGGGCATCTGCAAATCACCTTACCTGATAAACGGTAAAAACCCAGATTAGAAAGATAACAAACAAATCATCAAAACTCATGAAAAACAACTAAAAGACTCAAACAGGCGTTTCTCCAAAACATGTACAAGACTAAGAAGCATGAGACAATGTCCACCATGGCCTGCAGGCCATCGAGCCGCTGCGGGACCCACAGGGCCCCCGAAGGACAGGGTGGCCGAACTGCCCCTGCTGGACGCAGGAAGCAGAAAGCGCAGTCTTCCCTGCGGGAGCTGCTGGGGTCCCACTGCAGGCCTGGCGGCTGGCAGCCCAATGCAGGCTCCCTTGTTCACAGGGAATGCAGGTCACAAGCACCGCACTGCTTCCCTCCCGTATTACTGCAGTTCAGACAGACGGACAACCAAAGGTGTTGGCAAGGACATGGGGGGGGGGGTCCTCGCACAGTTGGTGGGACGTGCCACACGGCTCCATGCAAGGCCAGGCGCCATGTCACCAGGTGGCCTTGCAACCTCACTGCTAGGGAGAGCCCCCAGAAACAAAACTCCGGACCGCCAAGGGTCCCAGCAGCAGGGCTGGTAAGAGCTAAAGGGGAGACGTGACCTGCCGTCCGTCAGCTGGTGACCAGATGCACATGGCTGCTGTCAGACAGAGGACGGGTCTGCAGACACCGTGCAGGGAAAGGTGGTGGTCACAGGTCACACGTGATCTGACCTGACAGGTAGGGAAAAGCATGGAACAGGTAGTGCCTCTTGGCAGAAAATAAAAACAAAAGACACAGGTCAGTGGTGGCCGGAGAGGGCTGGGAAGGGACGATGAGAAATGTTCTCGGATGCAGGTGACGACGGGGCTGCCTTCAGAGCTCTGTGACCAGCAAGGGAAGAACAAAACCCTCAACCACGCACTTCATACAGGGAGGTGTCAGGGCCCGTGAATGACAGCTCAGCAGAAATGAAGCACTGGAGGGGAACCGCACACTGCATGCACGGCGCCCTGTAGGTCCGCGAGGTCAGCGGCCACCTGGAGCCACTTCAGGGAGACCCGCACAGGACAGAGGGCTCCGGCTGTGGAGAGGCCGACACATCTGCTGGGCCCTGCTGACCTCGCTCCACCTGAAGACCCCAGCCAGGGGGCCCTCAGACGATACCCGGAGGCCCTCAGGGCAGTCACAATTGTGGGGAGGGGGGTGCTAAAGGATGGTGCTAAACGTCCTACCGTGTTCAGGACAGACCCCCACCACCTCCTCACAGCACAGGTGGACCCAGCCTGAGCGGTCAATAGGGCTGAGGCTGGCAGACACCTGGCTCAGCTACTGGACGTCCTTCCGCCCACCAGGCTTTAGAGGCCTCCCTCCACGCAGTAGAACCGTGTCCCAAGCCAGAGTCCCCACCACTCGGGCCAGCCCCAGGCCCCTGGCAGGCACCCCAGCAGGGCCTGCCTTTCCACACGCAGCCTTCGGGGAGACCAGCTCTCCTCACGGACCAGCTTTAGGCAATGAATGATACTTTCAAAGGGGCACGGATCAAGTTTCATCTTCAATTTCCTAACCAAAGCTTTTTAAAAGGCAGCATTCTGCAAACTGCCAACCTGTAACAGACGCCTAAAAGACATGAGTGAGAAATGCAGAGACGACCTTGTCGTTCACGTGGCCACAGACCTGGCTGGTGTGTGCTAACGCTCCAGGTGGAGACACATCCCATCCGTAACTAACATGCTTTCCCCACATGGTCCTTCCAGGTGCACCAGCCCAGAGCACTGCCACCATCCAATCCCCAGGCTCCACAGAACCGTGGTGGCACTGAGTGGCGGCTCGTTATGCGTCGGGCGGACGAAGGGCAGCGAGCGTGGTTTTTATCAGCTCCCACTCCGAGAGGTTTGGCCGCCTTGGTCTGAGAAACGCTGCAGACAGCTGTGCTTCAGATACAAGCTGAACCCTAATGAACATATCTTTCCCTAAAAGGTGAGCCTGGGGGTGGGGGTTCCCCCCGAGCTTCTTCGCAGTAAGGCAAACTAACTCCCAGTAACTCAGGGAGTGCTGGGAGAGCAGCTCACTGCAAGGTCACTGGTTCAAACCCTCCACGGCTAAGGCCGAGGCCATAGCTTGGCTTCTGTACAGAGTGACAGGTTCGGGATCCCCACGGCAGCTGTGGGTAGGGAGGCGGGGTCGTGAGCCACCCCCCAGGCTGCTGTGAACCACAGGTCAACAGTTTGACCTGTAGCTTCTCCTCCAGGGGAAGGCATGGCTGCTGGCTCCCTCCCAGCAGGCTCCAGTCTCGGGACCCCAGAGGGAAGCCCTGCTCCTGTTACGGGGTCACCGAGAGTCAAACTCGGTTCCAACCAGCCAGGCGCCCGGGAGAAAGAGCGGCAGTGAGCCCCCTGCAGGACAGCCAGGGAACGCCAAGGCAGTTCTTTGTGCCGTCCTGACAGGCCACACCGAGTTGCAACTGGGTCGGACAACTGTGGCCTAGCAGGTCGTGGACAAGCATATCCGTGGACTCGGTTTTCAGGCAAACAGGACTGTGCTGCATGCCATATTCTGGGCAGCCCCCCCCCCCCCCGTCTTCTTCAAATGTCCCCATCGGACATCAGGATTGCCTCAGGCCAGATTATGGCAGGCCGCCTGGAGCTCTCCCGGTGAACTGTACTTGGTTTCACATGGCAAAGGACCTGGGGGCTTCATGACACCTCACCCGGCCGCTGACTGCCCATGGCCACTGTTTCTCCCCCGGACGGGGTGCGGAGCTGTCCCGTGAGGCACCCCCTCGGAGGAAGGACGGGGTCTAGCTCGGCCCCTGGGCCGTGAGGAGCCTGACCGCCCGCCCCAAGACGGCAGCAGTAATATTCTGGTCGGTCTGGGGTTGGCTCTCGCTCACCTACCGGAATCCAGCCCAGAAACGCAGACCATGTCCGCTGGACAAGGTGCCGTGTGTCCTGCCACTCCCTGCCGTCAGGCAGACGCTGACTCTCAGCGACCCTACGGGGCAGGGTAGAGCTGGCCCTGTGGGCGCCTGACACTGTAGCTCGTCGGGGGTAGAGAGCCCGTCCTTCTCCCGAGTCCCACACTGTAACTACGAAGCCACCAGGGCTCCAGTCAGGCTGCCCACGAACACGCCTGTCTTCCGGCCAGGGAGAGGCGAGGGGAGGGTCCTCCCTCCTCCAACCCCATCTCCCCTCAGCACCCAGGCCAACCCTGTGGGGGGTCGTCTGCTCCGGAGGGGCTGGCTCTGCAGAGACAAAAGCTCCAGCAGGCACTTACGTAGAAGTGGAAGTGCAGGAAGTGGGCCAGCACCCTGGGGGCCACGCCGGGGAACGTGGCCAGCAGCGTCTGCAGGTAGCTCTCCAGGTCCTTCTCCCGCCGCTCCACCAAGCTCTTCGAGTTCTTCCCGATGATCTTTTTGGGTGGAAGCAGATTCTTATCAAGCTTCCTCTCAGCCACAAGCTGCAAGAAACAGGCAGAGGTTCAGCTCCGGCCAGCAGGCCATGGTTCCTGCAGCCCCAGCAGCAGCGGCCGAGCCACGCATCTGGGACTTGGCTTCTTCAGTCTATCAGGGTCAGAACAAAGTCTATCAGAGTTCCAGCTGAGACACGACGGCTAAAGATTTGGGGGACATTCAGGGAAGCGACAGCTCTGGATCCCCGAAATCGCCACCTTCCAAGCCAGTAGTGGGAAACAAGCAGGGCAGTGGTGGGTTTTTAAAACCGCTAAGCTGAGGAGGACCCGGAATAAGGCCGCTCTCCCCAAAACCAGGGCAGAGGAACGAGACCACCACTGCTGCTGGAGGGCAGCGAGCCGGGGTCTACTCAGATCCTCCCTTCCCAGAGACTGCCCCGGAGAGGCCACCCGAGGGGAAGGGAACGGACACCCCCCCACCCCCATCCCCCGGGCTGGAGCTGGGCTGAACATGGACCCACAAGCTCTTGGACACCTGCGTTCATAACCTGGGCTGTAAAAGACGTGAGCCTGCTCGGGCATAAAATTCGTGAGTGCTGCGTGCTGACTGGGCCTAGAGCCCCCAAGCCGCGGACAGCGGACACCCCAGACACCGGCGCCAGCCCTCCCGGGAGTCACCTTCTCGTGCAGGTCATGGAAGTTGCTGTAGCGGTGCTTGACGGTCCACTGGTGGCTGCCGTCAGTGACCTGGATGATGTAAACCTGAAAGGGAACCAACCCACCGGTGGCACCGGGAGCCATGCAGCTGCGAGGCCCCTCCGACCCCGCCGCCGTGCGAGCTAGCTGCAGGGCGCCGCAGCCAGGGTGTCCCTGACCCCTGGCCTCTGCCCCAGAGCCCAGCCAAGAAAGTCCCAGGCTCCGGAGCGTCCGTCAACCTGTGTGTACTGACCCAGGTGAATCCACCGCACCTTGTCAAGCCTCCTGTGTATCTCCTGCCTCCAGGTGATTCAGGGCCAGCCCAGCCTCTTCCCGTGGGGGCAGAGCAGGCCCAGGCCTGCAGTATCGGTTCCCTGCCGTACTTCTTCCCAGGTTCCCTGACTACATGCATCCTGGATGCAACTTCCTTCCCCGTTTTGACGGTTACGTGTGGTTTCTGCCGCCAAGACTGGAGTCAAGGTAAGAAGCTGCCGACGGGAGTCAGCAGTGATGGGGCAGCAGCTGTCCTAACAGGGGGGTCATGTGGTGCAACCGTAAGAGAGAGGGGCTTCGGAATCAAGGTGACCACCCCTCCAAACCTGCTGTGGCCACTTCCCAGCCCCAGCCCCTACATCTTCAAATATCGTCCGTGATGCGGGTTCAAGCATCAACTGGAGTTAAACGTGCTTGGCTGCGAGCCACGAGGTGGACCTGCGGATCTACCCAGGAGTGCCTCCGAAGGTCTGCCAACCATCTCTGCTTCTGAGAATCTAGTCATTGAAAACCACATGGCGCCCAGTGGCACGGACACACAGCACACACATGTTATATCACTGCCGGCCGGTCGGCAGCTAATTACAAACTCCATTACAGTAAAGCATGTAAACTGCCTTGTGCATCACCTGATGCACCCACCCCCACGCATAAACACACCTACACATGCACATATACACCCACACATTCATATACACACACCCTAACACCCCACATGCGCATATACACCCATAAACATACACACCCACACACGCAATATATCCCCCCACACACACCCAAACACACCCCACACCATATACACACATACATACACAACTATACCCAAACACACCCACACATGCACCTATACACCCACATACACACACATGCATATACACATACCCTAACACCTCACATACACACCCACATATGCAATATACCCACAAGCACACCCACACATACACCCATATACATATACACACCCTAACACCCCATATGCACGTGCACTCACCCACACACATACAAACATACACATACACTCACGTATACACACGCACACATGCACCCACACACCACCTGTCCAAAAGAAAGGGCGGTTGGTAACACTCCTGGGGCGCCCTCGGGCCCGCAGCCTCCCC